GAAATAAACGTACTATTGAAATTATATTGGACACACTACTTTTAAGGAAAATTAACCCAGAACAACCAACACTGAGACATTTTCCAATAAATCTATTGAACTTTATAGAAAAAGAATCCTTTTGGCACCCAGGCAAAATGAATAAGTCCATTATAAAGGGAGGAAAAGCCAATGTTAACAGATTTATCTGTCTTATGCTGAAAGATAAAGTAACAGCCAGGGATTTTATATCTAGCCAAACTGACCCTCAGGTATAGGAACCATAGACTCACTATTAGGGTCGTGCATGGACTCTCGGAATATTGTTCAAATGAGCCTTTCCTGAGGAATGGAATATAGAACAGAATGAGCTTCAGATAACCAAAATGATTGGAGAGGCTTCCTAACAGCAGTTGGTAAGCATTCAGTATATACTTATAAAACTAACAGTGGGTTATAAGAGAGGCAGTGTGTCATGCAGAGACTCTGTGTTGTGACAGTGCAGATATAGTACAGCTATCAGAAAATGGAAGGAAATGGGGAGGGTGTATGAAAGGTAGGATGTCTGCACTGGTTGCCTTATAAATATTAACCAGGAGTAAAATTGAATCCTAAGGGATAGGGTAAAGCTAGAAAATATTATCACCTAATATTAATATTGTTTATAGTTGGGAAGCAGTAGACAATAGCTAAAAAAATTGAAGGTATTATATACAAGGGTATTATATAAAGTTTTGGTATAAACATAACCATGAGAACAAAAATGCCAAGTTTTCTAAATACTGAAAGATATATCAAAAAGAGAACAAATAGACCATATGACCACATAGAGAAAGATTATGTACATTGTGTGTGTGTGTGTGTGTTTATGAATTTGACTTATGAAGTGAAATAAGAATCATGTTTCTGTGTAAGAAGGAAGTAATTAAAATATTATATATGTACTCTTACACATATATGTGTGACAGAGTTTGGATGTGTTGTCTCCACCAAAACTCATGTGGAAATGTGATCCCCAATGTGGCAGTGTTGGGAGCTGTTTGAGTCATGGGGGCGGATCCCTCATGAATGGATTAATGCTCTCCCTGGAGGAGGAGGCGCAGTGAGTAAGTTCTCACTCTATTAGTTCCCACGAGAGCTGGTTGTTTAAAAAGATCCTGGCACCTCCCCTCGCTCTCTCTTGCTGCCTCTCACCCTGTGATCTGCTTGTACCTGATGGCTGCCTACTGCTTTCTGCCATGAGTAGATGCAGCCTGAGGCCCAGGCCAGATGCAGCTGTCCCAGAATTGTAAGGCAAATAAACCTCTGTTGTTTATAAATTACCCAGTTTCAGGTATGTATTCTGTTACAGCAACACAAAAACGGACTAATACAATGTGTATATACAATATTATATATATATATATATATATAATATTATATATATATATATGTTTACAAATGTGTATGTATATATGCACATACATATGTATGTGGACGTATATCCTTATACTTAAAACAGTGGTTGGATAAACTTTTTAAAATAGTTGCCTAAAGAGAGTGTTGGAGGGAATAGGGTAGAAAGGATAGAGACAGAAGCTAGACTTCTGTGAATATATTTTATTATGCAGATGTAGTTTGGGACTCATGTAAATATTTTACATAATTTAAAAGAAAATTTGACTTTAAAGAGCAATCCATAAAAGTCAAGTAAAATGTAAAGAAGCAAACCTGTGTTTCTAGGTGGTGACATTGCTACTCAAAGTGAAATTGTTCCAAAACTTTAGAACAAAGTGATTTGACTCTACATTCCTAATGGAATATACTTCCAAAACAAAAGCTTAAAAAAAAAAAAGCACCTTAAACTGTTTTTAGTAATCATTTTGTTGATGCTAGCATTGGTGTTATTTGATTGAATCAGTAATAAAGCAAATAAGTAATTATGTCGGCGTTTTCAGAACTGGAAGGAACAGATAAGGCAGAGGAAGTAATTAAAAATTATGTAGTTCTGAATTTGTCTATCAGTATGAATTCAAGATGTATCTTTCCTTTTTAAAAAAATACTTATTTCCTAGCCTTGTCCCCTGAAAGTTTAGAAATAATGACCTCTCCAGTAGCAGTGAGCAATCCTAGTGCTGTGTATAAATTCCATTTCTAAATTCCAAAGGTGGTTGGAGACATGCTGATTCCAAGTCCAGAGCAGGAGATGGACAGGATGAGTCTGGAGCATCAGGTCATACCAGAAAGCAAAGAAGCTACTAAAGAATACTAGAGTTTTGTCTGAAGCTTTCCAGAGCCGACTTGAATCGGCTACCAATGGACAAAGCTAGGACAGTCTGAGTACCAATGAGATATACTGTAATGGACTGAAAATTTTAAAATATGTTTAAATCTGTGAGTCATAGGGTTGTGTACAAACAAAAACTTTCTTATCACCTTTAGGGAATACTGGGGAACCAACTCATTATTTTTAAAACTGGTAAGAGGAAATACAAGTGTTTTATTTTGCCTTTCATGTTTGAACATTCCTCAGAATAAGCAAATAGTTGATGAGAGGCAGTTTCTCTTCATAGAGGTCTTCCTGCTAATAAATGAAGAGGATATGCTGCCAGCAGCCTGTTGAGAGTACACAGCTCATCTCAGAAACATTCTTGCAAACAAAAAAAAAAAACGCTGAATCTGATCAAGGCTTTAGTTCTAACTACTAATTTGCAGGAAAGAGAAGAGACAAAGGAGTATGTTAAATTACACCACAGGGATTCATTTAGCAAAAAACAGACTGGGAAACTGTGCAGAACAAATGACTCACTTTTTTTTTTCCAACATATTACAAGGAGAAAAGGGATAGAGGGGAAATCTGTCTCTTACAAAGGACTTAAGAAATGTATTAACTAATTGCAGTGTATGAATGAATCTTTTTGGCTCAAACAAACTGGAGGATAAAAAGGAACATTTACAGAACATTTGAGGAACTGTGTGCACTACCTTGATATTTAATGATATTAAAGAATTATTGTTGACTTTGCATGTATGTGAGAGAAAGAAAAGTGGTCTTATTATATCTTTTTTTAATGAGGAGTCTTTGTCTTTTAAAGATATATGTTGAGATATTTCAGTTTGAATGATGCACTATGTAGGATTTGCTTCAAAATAATCCAGGGGGATGTATGGAGTGTTATAGAGGGAACAAAATCAGTCATGAGTTGAGAATTGTTGAAGCTGGTGATGAGTACCTAAGGATATGTTATTACTCTCAATTTTTGTATAAGTTTTTAATTTTTTTATTATGCAAAAATTAGAAAAAGTAAGAAACTGGCCACAGCTGCTCCATAAGAATGGCTCAAAACAAAACAAATATTGCAGTAACATAACTAATATATTATTTTCTTACAATCAAGTTTACTACCCTTATTTTTTTTAGTAAGTTTTTAGTTTTGTGTTAATTTTAGATTTGCAGAAAAAATTGGAAAGACAGTACAGAGAGTTGCCATAAACCCCTCCCCAATCTCTCATTATTAACGTCTTATATTACCATGCTGCATTTGTAAAAACTAAGAAACCGACACTGGTACATTACTGTTAATGAAACACCAGACTATTTGAATTTCACCAGTTTTTCCATTACAGTCCTCTTTCTGTTCTGGGAACAAATCCAGGGTAACACATTACATTTAATTATCATGTCTCTCTAGTCTTTGGTCTGTGACAGTTTCTCAGTCTTTTTTTTTTTCATGACCTTGAGTACTGGCCAGGTATCCTGTAGAATGTCCCCCAAACTGGGTTTGTTGATGTTTTTCTCATGATTAGACTTTGGTTATGGGTTTGGGAGAAGAATACCATAGAGTGCCTTTCTTGTCACATTACATCAGGGCACATGCTATCAACATGATTTCACTGATGACATGAACCTTTATTGATTGGTTGAGATAGCATTCGCTAGTTTTCTCCAGTATAAAGTTAATATTTTCCCCTTTCTCTATTCTATTCTTTGGATGCAAGTCACTAAGCCCACCCTCCAGTTGGGTGTGGTGGGTGGTTAAGCTCTACTTGCTGGATCGGGATGTGTTGGCAGGTTCCCAAGACCACCCCAGGTTCACTGATTCACTAGAAGAGCTCACAGGACTCAGCATATGGTCATACTAATAGCTAAGCTTTATAATGGCAAAAGGATACAGAGTAAGATCAGCAGAAGGTGCTTGGGAAGAAGTCTGGAGGAAGCCAGGTGAAAGCTTCCAAGGGTCCTCTCCCAGTTAAGCACAGAATGTGCTTAATTCCCCCAGCGACAAGTTATGACAGCACGTGTAAAGCGTAATCTACCAGGGAAGCTTGCCAGATCCTAGGAGGCCAGGGTTTTTATTAGGGGCTGGGCAAGCAGGCATCCTCTGCCTAGCATGTACTAAAACTCCAGACTTCCAAAAGGAAGGAGATGTTCAGCATTAACCACAGTGTTGGTGCAGTTTAGGCACAGTGAACCACTTTTATGATTTACAGATCGTTTTATATCAGTGTAGGGAACTGTTTACTGGTCAAATTTCTCGCCCCTCATCCTGGACCAACTTTGTAAGCAGGACTTTCTGAGAATAGCAGTTTCATTCCTTCAATGTTAGTTCTTTTCTGTATAGGGAAGTGTCAACATATCATTACTTTTACCACCTATTTTTATTTTGAAAAGAAAAAAATCAGATAAAATACAGTGCGTAATATTAGAAGTTATATGATGTAAGAGTGACAAAATGAAATTTTAAGATCAGATCAAAGGTGTCATTTCTTCCTAATGAAATATATAGCAATCTAGACCTTTTTTACTGTTCTTTTAGTGTTTCTCTTAAAAATATTACTCATATTGCAACTTTTAGGAGCATTTCATAATTTTTAAAAATGCCTCTAGGTTGTGACCTCATTTATTGCCAAATAGTTAGAAGACTGTATAAATTTTAGTAATAACTAATAACATAACAACCAAAACCTGGGTGGAAATCCAAGAAAGTAATTACTAAGATTTAAGACATAGTATGTGCTAGTCATTTACTTTCTTTTAATAGGAAAAACGTGGTCTTCGAGAAATGCGAGTTCTTGAAAACTTGAAGAATGTGATCCATGAAACAAATGAACATACTCTTCCCAAATGTAGAGAAACAATGCAGGACTACTTAAACCAAGTTCTCCAGAGATGTAAGACAGTGATTTTTTTATATTGCCTTTTATTTCAAATGAATGCTATGCCAAAATGTATTTTCTTGAGTATTATGGTGGAAAATGGAGAGAGAGAATGCTTAACCGGGACATGTGAGATGGAAGCCCAGTCACAGAGAAAGTGGTTGTCTGTGGTTAATGTTTTGCCATTGAAGTTAAGAGCGTTAATCTCCAAAGTGAGTTATGTGCATCTGTGGTCCAGTATGTGAGAAAATTGAAACTTTTTTTACCTTTTAAAAAATTTATAAGAAAAAGTTTGATAACCAGGAATTAGGAAGATGTGAAAAGCTTTTTTTCCAATAGGATACTAGAGGTTTTAGCATTTTTCAAAAAGTAATCCTTTCATAAATGTTTGTATTTTATCACTTTTTTTTCATTAAGCAAAATATTTTAATGTGGAGAAATATTTGATGAAAAAGAATATTTTCTTTAATATCAAACCATAACATAAAATAAAAGTTTTATTAGTAATTGATTTTAAAATTAGTGATATATCAGATACTCAGGCTTCTCTTCAGGTCTGTGTTGACAACACTAAGCTTGTCTAAGGAGGGATAATGCTGGTAAATAATGATGGATTACTGAAGTGCAAAATGGAAAGATATCTTTGTGGGAAGAAAAAAAAGAAAACAAAACTGACCTGTAATAAAATGGCCTGTGAAAGAAAGCAGCAGAGAGACCTTGGTTAATAATTGAGTTAAACAAGTCTTTGTGTGCAAGTCCAAATTAATGGCCTTGGGTACTTTAATGCTAAAAGGAGGCTGGGAAGGATAAATCTCCCAAGATCACATTTGGTTGCTTTGGGTGGAACGGCAAAAGTCTCCAACTAACTTTAGGTTTCTGCATGTTACTACAAACATGCCCTTGTTTGTTGACACTGTCCAGTCCTAACCCATGACTAGCATTGTAGATTATATGGTAAAAGGAAAGCTCTAGTTATTACTAACAAGAATGCTTATGTACGCATTTGAGATGTGCTGGTAACTCTCCTTTTTCACACTTTGAATATATAAAAGTAAATTGTGTAAAACTCAGTAAAAACTATGAACAGCTATTTTGACTTGTTTCATTCTTGGTCTCAAGTTATTTCTAATATAAGGACTAGCTTCTTAAAAGTACAGCCTTCCTAGCAAAATAGAAAAGTATTACTGGTAATTTGGAGTCCAGAGTATAAATATTTTTTCTTGAATGGAAGAATTAAAACACACAAAATAAAGGTTCTAACGTCTTTGGGATACTTTGGATATTATTGTTAGCTTTAAGAACCAGACAATGGCTTTGGAGCTGTTTTCCTGCTAAAAGCAGGAAAAGCTTCTTCAGTAGGACACAAAATAAAGGTTCTAACGTCTTTGGGATACTTTGGATATTATTGTTAGCTTTAGGAACCAGACAATGGCTTTGGAGCTGTTTTCCTGCTAAAAGCAGGAAAAGCTTCTTCAGTAGGCTCCAACATGAGTATTTTCTTATACCTATTATGCTGAGCATCACAGGTGTGATGGAGATAATCATCTTCCTTTAAAGCTGATGTAGTTTAAAAAATGAGCCTGGGCCCAGCTGCTGTTCCTGGAGAATTTCATGTTTAAAAACTTGATGTTTTAAATCATCTTTTGAATTATTTTCACTACTAATTGATCAGGGAGTTGTGCAAAATCATGCAAGCAAGTTTATATATGGAATATATTTTGATCTAAATAGTGCATTACAAGACTAGTGATGAGCCGAGTTTCATTTTGTGCCTGTTAGTGCACAAAACCACAGAACTACATTTATCTCTTCATACTCATGTTGGAGACTGTGCTAGGCGTGCAGTCAGCTGTGCCTCTCGGAACTCTGTAGATGTGGCTTTTATGCCACATCTGACGTTGTGCACAAAACTGACAGACTGTGAAGCAGGAAGGTGGGGATATCTAGAATTGTCCGAGTGGAGACCTATTATCGAATACCCAGCTTGGAACTGTTTCTGCTTTTGGCTGCATAGTCACCTGCTTTGCAAAGTGTCCTGGGATTGAGTGAGTAGAGGCTTTAGAACTAAAACTCACCTGTGGTTCCTTAAAAACCACAAGAAGTAAATTAGAACACTATGAAGGTACATGCCATAAAGTAACTTGTCATCAAGATACAGCCTTTATGTTTTCCTGATCCTGAAGACACCAGTGGTGTCCGTGTTCTATTAATTATCTAACAGACTTGAAAATTTAACCAAATTTGATGTCAGGAGATCTTGCCTTAGTATCCTGGACCCAGTCCTTGAGTTTAGAGAGTAAGGAAGACAAACAGCCTCTAGGTTATTCCTCATTCGAATAAACTCACATGGCCGTCGTAAAAAAAATTCTCTCCCTCCCCATCTGTTTTTAAAAAATTCTCTCCCTCCCCATCTCATTATTTAAAAACAAGAGGATATGTGTTTTTTAAGTAATAAGAAAAAAGGAAATAAGAAAAAAATAAAGAAATTTTAAAAAGAAAAGAAAGCGATTAATCATAATAAATAACTACCTAAAAATAACCACTGCTTTTTAGCTTTGGTGAATATCATTCCAGACATCTTTGTGTATGTCCAAATAGAAAGATGGATGGAGGGATGATAGCTGGTTGAGTAGATGGGGGTGGGGGAGAAAGATATGAGAGGAAGAAAAGCATTTGATATGAATGGGATTATACAATTTTTTTTTCCTTTTTATTTTTGGTGGCTGGCCAGTTCAGGGATCTGAACCCTTAACCTTGGTGTTACAACACTGTGCTCTAACCAACTGAGCTAACCGGCCAGCCCTCTGTATCATACAATTTTAAAATTAAACTACTAATTTTTAATTTTATTTTAATTTGACAGAACAAAAATTTAAGTAAAATGGAAGGCAATACCTTAAAAGAAGTGTTTTTTACTATATAAGATAGTAGTTATTAAAAGTTCATTCTAAGATAAATATAGAAAAAATTAGATTTTGTAGTCATGTTGTTATTGTTTCTGTTTGTTAGTATTATGTTTCTGTTGTCAGTAACATTAATCAGTGCCTTGCCCTGAGAGATGGAGGGGTTAAGACTTTTATCCCCTTCTTGTCTCTCTTCCCCTGCCCTCTCACTTGTGAGTTTAACTTTGTCAGGGTTTACAATATTTGCTTTCTGTTCTTCAGTTACAGTTTTGCCGATTGTTTAATCTTAGACTACTCCTTTCTGTTTCCGATTTATTTATTACACCTGTAATGATATTATAGTTCTCAGTTTGTTTTCTTAGCTCTGCAATCTCATTTTTCATTTTATTCTGTATTTTATCAACACACATGATCTTTTATTAAACTCATACTGTTATTTTGTATTGCAAAGGACCTATGGAAATTTTGTTAGGTTTTCTTTCAGAATGGGTGTTTTGTCTGTCTTATCTGTCTCTCATATATTATGTTCCTTTCTTTCTTCCCCTTTCCCATCTGTTTGTCTATAAATTAAAGCATGTCAGAGTTCTAAGAGTTTTATCAGCTTATTTTCTTTTTGTAACTTTGGCTTTGAAGGGATAGTTTTGTTAGGGTGGGATTAGTTTTTTACCAGAATCTGTTCCTATTCTTGGCCACCACTTTTCAAAGTTTATAATATTTTTCTATTTAGTAAGTGACGAATTTTTTATCTTTTTAAAAAACTTTTTATGTATGTTGTGAGCTATTTAGGAAACTTTTGTCTGGTTTTGCTTCACTCTGCCATCTTTACCTAGAAATCTTTAAGAACTCACTATGATTTAAAATACTAATTTTTTATAATACTTTACTAGTTAGAATTTTCACCTGTATTCTTTTCATTTGACTATTATAACCCAGTAAAATATATATGTATCCATCTTCCCCACTCTATAGTTGAGGAAACTGGAATTTATAGTGATTTTACACTCATGGCTCTAATAATAATTGGTGGAACTGTCATGCAAACCTAGTTATTCTGACCTCAGATTCAACTTTAGGATGTTACTTCTGTATGCTCTTGGAAAGGTGATGAGAAAAGCCCACCCTTTCTTCTGGGATATCACCTTCTCTTGGTTTTTCTCCTACAACACAGGCTCCTCCTCAGTTTTTGTTAGTTTCCACTCACCTCCTTGCCTTTTGACATTGGGGTGCCCCAAGGTTTGATTATGGGACTGCTTTTCTGTCCAAACTTACTTGCCTGGTGATTTCATATAGAATCACAGCTTTAAGTATGTATATGTCAGTTATTAATTCCACATTTGTGTTTTCAGCTTGGACCACTTCTTTGAATTCCAGACATTAATATTAAGTTTCGTAGTCCACTTAGATGTCTAATAAGCATCCCAGTGTAACATGTCCGGAAAAAACTTCACTTCTTTCCTCAATTTTGCTTTTATCTCATTCTGTCCCATCACCTAGTTACTCAAGCCGAAAAACCTGAACCCCCATCTCTTTCTCTCTCTCTCCTGCTTTCTCCCCATCTCCCCTGGTTCTTTCCTCAGTTTTGCTTTTATCTCATTCTGTCCCATCACCTAGTTACTCAGGCCGAAAAACCTGAACCCCCATCTCTTTCTCTCTCTCTCCTGCTTTCTCCCCATCTCCCCTGCCTCCTCCTTTTATTCCTCCTTCCTCTCTCCCCTTCCCTCCGTTGCCTCCCCTTTCCTCTCTTCTATTGTTTTCTCTCCTCCCTCTCTTCCTTTCTTCCTCCTCTCTCTCTTCTTCTCCTTCCCTCTCCTCACATGTAGTTTATTAGCACATCATTTTGGTTCAACTTTGTGAATATAACCAGAATCTGACCACCCTTACCACTTCACCAACTGCTGCCACCCTGGTTTAAGCCGCTGTCATCTCACCTGGATTGCTCTAGTAGCTGCATAACTCATCTCTTTGCTGCGTCTCTTTCCTCCCTATGGTCTATTCTCCACGTAGGAGTCTAAATGATCCTTTTATGTAACTTAGCTCTTGTCATGACTATGCTCAGAACCCCTTCATCTTGCTTAGATTAAAAGCCAAAGTCCTCATAATGGCCTGGAAGTTAGCCGTGATAGCCCCCACTCTGAGTTTTATTTCCTACCATTTTCTTTTCCCTCATTTCATTCTCACTGTCCTGGCCTCCTGCCTCTTTCTCTCATGCGCCAAGCACACTCCCACCTCAGGGCCTTTCCCCTTATGGACCCCTTGGAGCACTCTCTCTCAGGTGTCCCTACACTCATTCCTGTAGACTTCTGCTCACATGTTGACCATGAGGCTGCCTTTGGCCACAATGTAACCTTCGTCTTCCCTTCACTCTGGCACTCCCTGGGCACCCTGCCTTACTTTGTTTTTCTTCATAGCATCCATCTCTGACCTGACATGCTAAAAATAAATTTTGATTTATACATGAGGGTACTTTGAAGAATTCATGGAAAGATTTTTCAATTCTATTTTTCTACCAATTTTCTGAAGTATCCTCATGTCTTCCCAACTAAAGTATAAGTTCCATAAAGTCAAGGCCTCTGTTTTGTTCACTGCCGTATCCCAGGCACCTAGAATAGTGCCTGGCATTTTGTAGCCACTCAGTAGTTATGTGTTCATTGAAATGAATCAATGAGCATTCAGCCAGTGTCTGCTCCTAATGCCAAACCGAAATTATTTTCTTGTGTGCATATTTGAGGTTTACACATAGGCACCATGGATTTGTTTCTCTTTTATGTGAGGAAAACTAGCACATTGTTAACTGTATGTGGCACAGCACTCTGTGTTAATCTCCTTGAACAATCTTTTGGGTAAGTGAAAAGCATTTGATAAATTCTTGACTTTTTTTGAGTCAGTATAGTCTAAAACACTGAGACAAAAGGAGAATTTGCTTCATACTGAATGAGATATAACCAATAAGTGATGTGGAAGTGATGAGAAGGTTTGGAGAGATGGGTCTTTTTCACTTGGCGTCATTAATTGTGAAGAAAGGGAATGTTTGGTGTCGTCAGGTGATTATCTTAGATTTTAGAAAAGCAAATTTTATGAACTTGGTAGGTAATAAACCTTTTATATTGTGTGACTAAAGAGTTAAGTGAATTACTTCAAAGGAACTGGAATTTCTAAAATTGGTTGTTCTGTTTAAACATAAAGACAGTCCTGGTAAGGAACAAAAGTGTGCCTCTGTCAGATTTAATTTCTAAAAGATGTAACAAATGACAGAATAAGTGGCATAGTCTGTGACTCTTCTTTTAGATTAAGCTCACAATGATCTGAAAATGATGTGAAGCACCTAAAGACCACAAAATGGCTTTTTAAGTTATGTTCACAGAACCAGCGGAGAAAAAAAAAAACCAGGAAATGATAGAACTACTGCTTTGGAAAGATGATGTAATATGCTCCAGAAAGAAGGCAGATCTAATCAACTCCTATTTTGTTTTGTTTTCATCTTTTAGAAGAAAACAATGATTGGGAACCTAATTTTTAGTACTTAAATATTATCTTTGATATAACCAAAATTAATGGTTACTGATAAAAACATGACTTTTTGAAAACAAAATCCTTATTTCCACAGGGAGAGACCTAACATTTTTCTGAAAGAGAAATAACTGTCCCTGCCCTGTTATGAAACTTGTGACCTAGTTGGTGCCTGGTTGGGGTGGGGTGGGAAGGCATAGTTGTAAAACAATTAGATAAACCTCAAGTATTCATAAGCAAATGCAAGATAAAGTGGTAGGATACACACATACCTGATGAAGGAATTTCAAATAAGGGAGAACCCTTACAGGGACAGGACTAATCTCTGGGCAGGCTTTATGAAGGCAGTAAACCCTGAACTGGGCTTTTGAAACAAGTGAAAACATTTTAATTAGAAGAAAGAAATAGAAGAGAGTACTTTCAGTAGAGATAGTACAGTAAGTAGAATAATAGTAAATAACATTTCTTAACTGCTGACTGTGTGTGAAGAACTACTCTAATTGGTTTTTATTAGTAGTACTTAAATTATTTATTTTAAAGCATAGTATCTACTGTGATATCTCATTTGATTCTCATGTCAGTTTTGAAGTTCTGTTATTAGTTGTTAATGCTCATTATACAAATGAGGAAGTAAGGTACTTAGAGATTAGGAGCAGCAACAAGAGCAGTGCCTGGTGCATAGCAGATTCTCAGTAAATATTTGACGAATGAATGGATAAGCGAGCAGACATGCCCAGGATCAGTCACACCACTGAGTGCTCAAGCCTAGATTTGACTGACCAAGTCTGACTCTTAGCCTGCACACTAAATGTTTTTATTTGGATGAAGTAAGTGAGAACATTTGTGGACAGAAGTAAAATGGATCTGGTAGATGAAAAGGTATGAGTTAACTGAAGAATTAAAACTGTGCTTTCACTGATGAAATAATAAAAGAGGCAGTAAATTGTTGAGGGTAAGACGCAAGTCTTTAGAGTCAAAGAGATCTGATTTGAAATTCTATTTCATGTGCTTATTAGTTGTGTGACCTACTTGAGTGACAGCTTCACCTCTGTGCCTCAGTTTTGTCATCTGTAAAATGGAAAAGTGACCATTTTCTAATAGGAAGGTGGGATTAAGATGAACAATACATGTAAAGTTCTTGGAAGCACAGTGTTGACATACGGTAAATACTTGGTAGATAACTGCAGTAATTATTGCTAGCAATTTTGGCTCTTAAGAAAGGAAACTTAATGAAAAAGGTCCAGAGAAAATTGAATCTTGCAGTGGCAGCCAAGATGAAGAAGACAAGACAGCAGAGGCAAGAAGAATAGTAGAAAGTTGTTAAAGAATCTAGATGCCAAGTACTGCCTACAAGAGAATAGTAGTATGAATGAGAAAAAAGGGAGGGGGGCAGGTAGTGAATCAAAGCGATGAAGTAAAAAACATTATCAATCAGATGGTAATGAAAAATTTGTCAGCCGTTTTTTATCTTTTTAAAGAATTCTGAGGATGTTTTTGACAACTTGTCGTTGGAGTTAGTACTCAAATGCTCTTTGGCTTGCAGCTCAAAGCTCAAGAATGGTGGTTTTTCTAATTATGACATCCTGAATATACTGGCAAAACTTATTTTTCCCTTCTAGCCACTCCACCACCACCAAAATAAAGTTTTTTGCACAGTTTTTGGGGATCTCAAACAATCCAACATTGTTTTTTCCCTCCAGGTAAGTCTCTCCTTGAACAAGGGCTGCTGATTGTAACTCCTTGTCCGTTTCGTTTCAGTGCAAGCAGCTAATGACTCAGTCTGTAGACTCCAGCAGAGGGAACAGGAGCGAAAAAAGGTAAAAGTATATCATTTGGATAATGTGACATATAACTAACTCCTTGGCATTTATTATCATCATATGATTAGGAGTTGCTTTTGATCAGAAAATTCTCTGAATGGATTTTCCTTTATGCAGTGATTTTAAAAGATTTAAAAATAGCTAATTCATTGAATATGTGTTGAGGAGGTGTGGTCATGTGGTCACACCATCAATATTTTTAATTCATATTGCAGACCACTTTTTTTCCTTTTCAATATTTCCATCTTTTCCCTGAAAGTGGTATTTGTCTCATGGAGGAGAGAGAAAATAGGACTTTTACATGGAACAACAAACACCCACCAAGTTGGAAATATAAATCTTTCCTTTGAGCCTGAAGCATTGAGCATATATGTATATTTCTTCTAGAGAAGGAAGCATTCATGCCTTCAGATGGGTTATTTAATGAATAGTCATTGGAGTATGTGAATCACTTGCTGGGCAATGCTTTGCTTATTTGAATTATATCTTAACTAAATTCAGATGTGGAAAAACAGCATAAGAATTTAAGTTCCTGTGATAATTTGGTGTTTTCACTTGCCGTTTTCATAAAGTATTTTTGTAACTTATTCATTGCCCCAAACTAATAAAGATACATCTTACATTTATTAGGAAATGTTGAAAATACTCAGTCTGAAAATAGACCTTTTGTGCATGTGTGTTTATCAACAAGTGTTACTATCTCCGTTTCTCCGGAATGTGTTGTGGTTAATCCACAATAATAGTTCAGATTTGTCACCATATAAAAAATATGTAATGAACTTCCCAGAGTTTCAGTTTCTATACCTCTGCTCAACTCTAGATGTTGATATAAAATTTGAAAATTCAGCAATTTGATGATAAGCCTTACTGAAAGGACTTGACGTTTAAGACAGGTGGGAAGGTTGCCCACGGGTAGTAGGATTTCAGCAGGCCAGGTCAAAGCAGAGCTGTTGATGAGCACATGGAGGGGGTGGCAGGGCAGAACCACAGTCAGGAAAGTTTATGTTGGGAGCCGGTTCTTGCTCAGTGTGCAGAGTGCTGTGAAGGCAGGCATGGGCCTTAAGTGGGCTGTGCAAGGCTGGACAGATATTTTTTTAATTCTCTACTTTGTTCGGTGCCACCAGGATAAAAGATTTTAATTTAAGTTTAATGGCAATTTCTACACTCAAGGAGCTAAAAGTCCAGGAGTCCCAAACCACTAAAACTAATGTAATATAGGATAAAGTAAGAGCTGTGGTCAAGTTACACAGAACTGTATGGTATCTTAACCAAAGGAGTATTTTATTGGGAAGATGGTGGCATTCAAGCCCAGCCTTGCTCAGTAAGTAAGAATTCAGTTGCTAAAAGATGTGAAGAAAGATATATATAGTGTGTGCAAAGACAAAAGATGTGAGAAGTCAGTAGTCTCATGGAGCTGGTATGTAGAGTATCTAAATGGATGTTTCTTGTTGGGGGCACCAAGAGCATTTTCTGATCTTGAGAAGCAGAATTACTTAATCAGATAGAACACTGGCTCTACATTTTAACATATGTAATTCTCCTGGTTTTCAAAATAAAAATTAAGAAGTATTTTGTGCTGCATATTGCCTCTCTGACATGTTGCAAAATGATTTAAGCAGATTCAAGGGCGTGTGGACTCACACATTAGTTGGTCCGTCTTTCTAAGACTTTGTCAAAGCAGTTATAATTCTAAGAAACATCAATCCTTGTCATTCTTGAAGAGAATGATCCTAAAATTAAATTATAACCGGCATAGTTCCTCTTGTCACTTTGAACTATTTTCACGTTTGGTGTATTTAGCTGTTGCTATGGGTTAAATGTAGCCCCCAAAAGTTCATGTATTGGAAACTTGACCCCCATTGTAACAATGTTTAGAGGGTGGGAATTCCAATTATGGTATTTGAATGGTGGGACCTTTGAGAGGTGATTGGATCATGAGGAATGTGCCCTCCCGAATGGATTAATCCATTTATGGTGTAATGAGTTATTGCAGGTGTGGTTCTGGTGGCTTTAAAAGGAGAGTGAGTGAGGTTAGCTGGCTTGCCCCTGCTATTTCTTGTCATGTGATTCCCTGTGTCACCATGGGACCCTGTAGAGTACTCCCACACGGAAGAAGGCCCTCACCAGATGCACCCCCTGGACTGTGGACTTCCCAGCCTCCAAAACTGTAAGAAGTAAATCGTTTCTTTATAAGTTACCTAGTTTCAGATATTCTGTTATAAGCAACAGAAAACAGACTAATATAGCATATATTTGGTAGGAAAGTGACCAGATTGTATAAAAAATAGCTGGTTTCTTCTATTTCTGGTAGTTTGTTCCTTTTATTAGCTAACTGTATGCCCTTAGGCAAGTCTCTGAGCTTCAAGCTCCTCATCTACAAAATAAGTACCTGATAGATTGATGGGGTAAGTGTATTATGCAATTTATGTGAAACAACATTGCAAATTGTATATCACTATCCAAATGTAAGGTGGCATTTCTCCTGCCAGCTCACTTTGTTTAAGATGCATGCGATCACTGTGTGGATAAAAGCCTGACTGTAGTCTGAGTTGGTAAAGCACCTAAGAAGCCAACCCATTCATGGTTTTCCAAATTAAAGGGTACTGATGCATGGTTTTAAAAAAATAATAAGAATATTTTAGTATTAAGTGTATTTTTATAGGTAGTATGTCTGAGAATGTTAGTAAACTAATTTTTATGGAGTACATATTAAAAGTTAGTATTTTAGAATATACTGAAATGTGTTTCACCAAGAATTGGTATGGAGTCCATGAAACCTACATTCGTAAGCAGCCACTCTGATTTTCTCTTCTCAAGATAATTTAATAAAATTAATCAGCTTAAAGTCATAAAAAGATGTGTTTCTCAGACAGCTCAGAGAAAAGTAAAAATTCTTTACATTCTTACTGGGACAACCAGCTTTTTGTTTTAAATATTTCTTATTTTTAGTGTTTATCTAATTCGCAGAACATATGAAATATGAATCTTTAAGGGTTTTTTTTTTCCTACTTGCATATCTAGCTTTTTCTGAAACTTTGACATGGCAGAGTATATATAAGTATATATATAAGTATATATACCATACAGGTATATGTAAGTCATAAAGGTAAAGTTTAATTTCTCATCTAGCAAATATGTGTGCAAAGCAAAATTGACCACTAGCTGCATTTTACAACCTAATGTTAATTGTTGCCTTTGGTTATACTGTTGGCTACATTTTGTATATTTGAATGGCTCCTAGAACAAAGAAAGATGGGAGTAGTAATGGAATAAAATAGACTATTGCCATTAATCTTTAATTCTTTTATGTTAAGACAATTTGTGGAATTCTGTGGGAAGTAAATCGATAAACGTCATTCATCCAAATCACATTTCCCACAATTGATATTTAAAAGTACATTCAGAAGAACAATAAATGCACATTCCCCAGTTATTTGACTATGTCTTAAAAACTACCACTAATACAAAGTTGCATTTTGGGCGCTAGCAATAAGAGTAGTGAAATGAAAATAAAATTGGCTTATAAAATTCACTGGCTCTTAAAAATATTCCAAGAAGGGAGATGAGGTGGTTAATAATATCTGTTAATAATTTAAACTTAGGTTCATATACAATCATCAACTTTCGAAGCCATGTTCAACCAGATTAGAGATAATAATAAAGTAAATGTGAATTTATGTATCTTTTTCATAAATATCTATTAGATTTAGTTATGCCTCTTTATAATTTTTTTTCATGAGAGCAATGAGATCACGTCTTATACATTGTTCTTGATAGAGTTTGAAAATGCACAGTAACATACCATTACGTACTATTCTATTGAAAATCATTTTTGACAATTGTTATACTGATACTTCTTATCAAAATAAATAATTTTTCCAATGTCTTCATAAGGCATATGTAAAATTAGTGGCATTTGTATTATTGACACATGTTCCAAAAGAACTTTAAGACCTTAGTTAAATTTAGAATTTTCCCTTAGACCAGGGCTTCTCAACCTCAGCACTTTTGACATTTTGGACTAGATAATTCTTTATTGTGGTTGCTGTCCTGTGCCTTCTCCTCTATCCACTAGTTGCAGTAGCACCTCCCCGTGAGCCATGTTATGATAACAAAACATCTTCTGGGAGAGAGGAATGTCAAAATTGCCACCCACCGCCTGCCCATCTCCCCCAGCTTGAGTCACTGACTTAAACTAATATGTGCAAAAATGTGTTTTATTCCATAGTTCATTTATAGTGGGGCTAGCTGGTTAGCTCAGTTGATTAGAGCACAGTGTTATAACACCAAGGTCAAGGGTTCGGATCCCCATACTCTCCAATAGTCAAAAAAAAAAAAATTGGAGAGTTCATTTACAGACTTAGTTCTAAGTGTAGTTTAGCTTCAGGATTGGTTTCTATTTAAATTTATTTCTAATGAGATGTACAAGAGTACTTCAAAAAGTTCATGGAAAAATAGAATTAAAAGGTAATATGAATCTTTCCATGAGTTTTTTGAAGTACCCTTGTATATATAAGCCAGTTTACTATTACTATTTCTTTCTCTGTTGTAACTTAATTTATACATTTTACTAAGTAGAAAGAGACAACACCATTACAGCTAATTACTTTAGTGCACACTTGTAGCTCATTAATAAACTTTCTCTTCATTTTCTTTTAAAGTTGGCATTTTCTGAGTTTATCTTTAAAAGAAAACAAATGCACCCATATGTTTAAGAATGTAATAAGAACCCTCTGACACTTGATTTTAAAAAAAATTTTAAATCGTGATAAAATACATGTTATATAAAATTTACCTTCTTAACCATTTTTAAACATATATTTCAGTGGCATTACATACATTCACATTGTTGTGCAACCATCACCACCATCCATCCACAGAACTCTTTCATCTTGCAAAACTGAAACTCTATATCCATTAAACAGTAATTCCCCATTCCCTTCTCTCCCCACCCCTGGCAACCACCATTCTACCTTCTGTCTCTATGAATTTGACTA